TCCTTCCTTTCTTTCTTTCTTCTTTCTTTCTTTCTTTTTTTTTTGCCACATATGCTTGCCAGAAAGAGGCAGAGAGAGAGTGAGAGAGAGAGGGGGAGAAAGCATTCCCCAGTTGGGCCTGGTCACACTGCAGTCCCGTCTCCATTTCTCCATTTTGTCAGGCCCCTGGGCATGCACACACACACACATGCCTGGAATGTTTTTCAAGCCACTGAGCTGGGACGCAAACTGCAGTCAGCCATGTGGAATCCAGCTCCCAAAGCACTCCACTTAACCACTGTGCCCAGTTCCAGCTCTGACTCATCTTCTTTGAGACTTTTCAGGACTTGCATTATGGCTTGGCATGTGGTCACTCTGTGTAAGTGCTTCACATGGGCTCTAATTAGTTGGATGCAGAATTTTATGCATGTACATATTTGATCAAGCATTGTTGATTTTTTCACTCTAATCTATTATATTTTCCCCTGTTTTTGGACTAACCTATAATTAGATACGAGTGGTGCATTTAAATCTTTAACTATGACAATAAGTTTTTCAGTTAGTTTCTATTTATTTATTTAGACAACGTTCACTGTGTTGCGATCCTCATGCCTCAGCCTCACCATGTCTGACTCTTTTCGCTCCAGTTCAGCCTTGAGCTCAGCATCCGCCTGCTCCAGCCTCACAAGAGGCTGGGATTTCAGGCACACACCACCACGCCTTAGGTTGGACTGGGAACTGAACCCGGGCCTCCCACATGGTCCCACCTATGGAGCACAGCATCCTAGTAGCCCTTGCCACCACAGCAGGCCTGTTTCTATTCTTTATTTTATTTTAAGTTTTTAATTTTTATTTATTATTTCCATAAGAGAGAGAGAGAAAGACACCCCTAACAGAGTCTTCCTGCCAGGATCCACTCCTAGCCTCAGCCAGCCAGGATCATATCATATGTCTGCCTGGCACGTACAGGGAGACCTTGGGACACGAACCTGGGACCTTCCCACGTGGCTTCAGCATCATGGAGCATTGTGTTTCTGCTGTGCCACTACAGCCGAATCTGTTT